TGTCTCAGGTCAGGGGTGAGCCATTGCCACTGGCTCAGTCAGCTTCCAGGTTTGAGGCCCTGGACCAGCCACATCCTCTTCCATGAGCTCTGTTTCTTCCTCTGGAAAAGGCACAGGAGCCTGGCTCGGATGCACGGAGTTGGTGTGGGCACCTGGCAGCCCATATGTGCTCAGCAGTCATGCTGGGGGCTGCTATTTTCCCCGAGTCCACACCCATCACCAAGGCTAGTCACCGCTACTCTGAGCCTCAGTTCCCCCATTTGGCCACACTCCCCCTGAGACCATACAGATGGGCCACCACCTGGATGGGCAGGAGGAGGCCTCTGCTGGTGTTTACCTAGGGCAGCCACTAGGCAGGACCGACAGGGTTGGCACTGGCTGACCTTACTAAGCTGGAGGTCCTTGGCAGCGCCCAGCTTTGCTAGGGGTGGCTGGAGAAGGGTCCCAGCCTGGCCGTTGGGGGACTGAGGAGGCTGGGATAAAGCTGAGCCCCTTCTTAGAGGGGGAAGTTCCTGATGTGGGGGCAAGGGCTCTACATACCCCTATTAAGCACCTACTGGATGTCAGACCAGGCTGCTTGGGGCCTTTGCCCATGCTGTTCCAGCTGCCAGAATCACTTTTCCTTTTACAGTACTGATCCCTCCTCTTTCTGCTCAGAAGACCCCACCTCCAGGAAGCCTCCCAGATTCTCTGGGTTGAGTCAGGCACCTCAATTTGGGTAAATACAGTGCCTGAGTTCCTCCCATCACAGCTCTGATCACCCAATATTATACTGGGCATGTCACTTAGTTGATCCACAAATACTGCCAGAGCACTTAGTAGGTGTCAGGCAATGTGTGTGACCATCCATGCTTAGGGAACCCTGCAGGGCAGGTGCTGTTACTGTCCTCTATTTACAGATGGAGAAACTGAGACTTGGAAAGATTTAACAGTGGAAAGAAGCCAGGTGGCCTGGGGCCTGGAGTACTGCAGAGCCTCATTAAGAGCTGTTTTTATTCCTAGTGACAGTGAGCTCACTCTCTCTCTTGGCAGTTTGGTTGTGAGAAAGGTCATTTGCCTGTGACCTTCAAGGACTCTAAATGGCAGGCAATGCTGGCCACCCCTAACATCTGTTCTCTCCTTTTCCACAACACTAAGTTCTGACTAAGAAGAAGTGATATGTGAGATTTCTGGGAAATGTCCTTAAAGGGAGAGGGTAAGCCCTTCCTCAGCACTTCTTCCTCATTGACTGGAATGAAGATGTGAGGGCTGGAGCTCAAGGAGCTGTATTGTGGTAAGCAGACAGACATGAGCAGAGCAAGGACAATGAGCTAGGTACAGAAGGTCATTAGGGTAGAAAGCCCCAGGTGTCTAGTAAGGGACAATTGTAGGGTGGGACCTCATCCCCAGGGTGACCTTTCTCCCCTAGCAAATCACTGGTCATGCTGTTTGGATTCCCTGACCTTTCATATGGTTAGTTGTTCAGTTTAGAGTCCCTGAATTTTCCTCTAGGCCTCAGATGTATTTCAGCTCCAGGCCCAGAAAAGCAGCAAAATCAGACAAGCTGACCTCAGACAAACTGCATTGAATAATGACCCCTGCCCTGCCCTGACACTGACCAATCAATCAGTGGAGGTCCTGACCCTGAAAAGACACACCTGGAAAGCTCCTAACTATTTTATTGAGATCTTCCTCTGGGACCTCCCCTAAAATCTCCACCTTTAGAATTCTAAGGATGGAGGACCCAGTGTGCTCTCCCTCTCCAAAGCACACCTGCACCTTTCCCCACCCCACCTCTTCCTCTTCCTCCCAGGTACGTTACCATCACCTTCCTCACTCTCAAGTTCCAAGGACCCTTCTTTTGCTTCTGTAAATTGTTTCCTAAGCCCATTTCTTCTACCATTCATTTTTTCCACCTCTATGATTTTCTAAATAAATGTTCTCTTACAGTTTGTCTTGGCTCTGCAATCTTTCTTAGCTAAAATTCAAGTACCAAGGGTGCTGAACCCAGGTCCGGTCTGACCCCCCCCCCCCCCCCAGTCTAATACCTGGTGCATTCCTGCTGCCATAGTATTGTCCCACTTGCGGAGGATGTGCAGCGGTAAGATGGGAGGAGCCTGGGCTGTGGACACCACGGAGCCTCCGTGCCGCCCCTGAACTGACTATTCATGCTCATGAGAAAAGATGCCCCCTGTGCTTAAGCTACTCTGGTTGGTCAGCCCCACCACACACATAAGCCATGACAGAGGGCCCATCTTTGCCATCATCAATCCAAGAAGGGAAAATCATTCCCTAAACCATCTCAGAGAATCTCAGCTATAGCAAAGCACAAGCAAAAAACACTTCCGTGTGTGTATAAAGGGAAATCTCAGACTAATGTAAACATTCACTTGTTAAATCACCAAGACTAGACTGCAGGGTCCAACTCCCATCATTGCCCATGTGCTGTGTGATCCCAAGCAAGTGACTTGGCCTCTCTGGGCCTCAGTTTCCTCATTTAATATAAAATAGAGACCTGAAACAGTCTCTTTGCTACTTAAAACCCTCCAATGCTCTAGCTCGTGTGGCTCAGTAGATTGAGCGTGGTCCCATGGACTGAGAGGTCCCAGTTCGATTCCTGGTCAGGACACATGCCCGGGTTGCAGGCTCAAGCCCCAGAAGGGGGCATGCAGGAGGCAGCTGATCAATGTATCTCTCTCACATCAATGCTTCTATCTCTCTCTTCCTTCCTCTCTTTAAAAAATAAAAATTAATACATACCATATTTAACAAAAAAAACCCTCCAGTGATTTTACTCAGCACTTCAGAATAAAAACAGAATTCCTTACCAAGCTTTACAAGGCCCTGCACAACCTGCCCTCACCTTCCTCTCTCTCCCTCACTCACTCTGCTGCAGCCATGTGAGCTTCCTCACTGTTCCTCCAACACACCAAGCACGGTCTTGCCTCAGGGCCTTTGCACATGGTACCATCTACCTGGAACACTCTTCCTGAATGCTCATCTTCTTCTTGCCATTTGTCTCAGATCCACGACTTCCCTGATTACACTTGCCACATGGCCAAGCATGAGCCCCTCACTCATATAGCCCAGAAGAATCCTTAATGTGGCCCAAACCTTCTAAAGAAGGAGGGCATGCTGGGGACTGAAGAAGCATCTTACTTGTTCATCATAAAATTAAACCACATCTGAGTTGGTCTCTGAATCCAAGTAGAAAGTCACAGGAAATACAGGGGATTGAGGAACATGTTAAATGACACCATGGAGACATCCAATCAGCCAAACCCAGACTGAGGACCTCACTGCAGGGTGAATGACCCAGTTGCTTCACCAAATAAAGTGCAAGGCAAAGTTAAAAGAGAGAGATAGAGGGGAAAGCTCTCTATTAAGAGTTAGGAGCCCATCGACCTGATTCAGACAATCAAAAGACATATACGCCATAAATGTTCACACATCCCAGTGTCCCCCAGATGGAATATTTTGAACATGATACTGATGTTTGTGGGGTTGTTAAGAGGTGTTATCTTGAAGAGCACGATCTCTCTCCTCAGCACTGTGGACACTGGGGCTGGTCATTCTCTGTAGGCAGGTCTGTCCTGGGTGCTGTAGGGAGTTGAGCAGCATCCCTGGCTCCCACACACCAGAGACTAATAGCACCCCCCAGTGGTGACTACCAAAAATGTCCCAGATGCTGCCAAGTGTCCCCTGGGGGGGGAATCCCCACCCCAATTGAAAACTACTGCTTTAGTGACACAAACTAAAATATTTACAGGTGAAAAAAAATCTAGGATTTGCATCAAAATAGCAGAGGGGCGAGTGAGTGGAAGTGAAGATACAGGAATGGCCGTGAGGAGATAATTGTTGAATCTCAGTAATGGATACATGTAGGGGATCATTATTCTATTCTTTCTACTTTTGGAGCGTTTGACACTTTCCAGTATAAAAAATTGAGCCCTGGCCGGTTTGGTTCAGCGGTTAGAGCGTCGGCCTGCGGTCCTGAGAGGCCCGGGTTCGGTTCCCGCTAAGGGCATGTACCTCGGTTGCGGTTTGTCCCCGGCCCTAGTCGGTTGTGCGGGTGGCAGCCACTCGATGTGTCCCTTTCACATCGATGTTTCTCTCTCTCTCTCTGTTCCTCTCTCTCCCTCCCACTCTACCTGAGCAAAAAATGGAAAAATGTCCTCGGGTGAGGATAAAAAAAAAAAAAATTGGAATGGCCTGGCTCGTGTTGCTCAGTGGTTAGAGCATCAACCAAAGCAATGAAGGGACATGGGCTTAATTCAAAGTCAAGGGCATGTACCTAGGTTGCAGGTTCAATCCCAGACTCTGGTGCGCAAGGGAGGCAACCAATCGATGTCTCTCTCTCACATCATGTTCGTTTCTCTCCCTTTCTCCTCCTCCCTCCTTCCCTTCCACTTTCTCTAAAAATCAATGGAAAAAATATCCTTGGGTGAGGATTAACCACCAAAAAAGTTGGAATGATGGGGAATTCAAATAAAATCTGGAGTTTAGCTCCTCACAAAGTAGCCATGTTGCTTTCCTGGTTATGACAAACATGCCATGCTTATGGGAGATGTGAGCATCAGGGGAAGCCGGGTGAGGGTACATGGGAACTCTCTAGAACTCTGGCTACTTATCTTAAATCTAAAATAATTCCAAAGTAAAAAGTTTATTTTTTTAAGTTTAAATGAATAGTGAATAAACATATCAGGATCAGCAGCCGTGTGCCCAGGATTGAAACCAAGGCATGGCGCCTGTGGCAGAATGACCACTGGCCGAATGAACACAGCGACCTTGAGTGCCCCCACCCCATATCTTCCATGTCATGCACCTGCAGACAATGGCAGCCAGCCTTGGGCTCTGCAGGGCTTTGTCACATGGGTGGCATGAGGGGCCAGAGGCCGGGTGACTCCACAGCAGTCAGGGCACGAAACCGCTTTCAAACCCATTTTATTGTCTCCAGACTAGAAACGTTCATTTCTATCCTCCCCACCCCGATGATCTTCACCAACCAGGGTCTGGGGGCCTCAGAGAGGGTCTGGGGGCCTCTCTGAGGACTCCACGGCCTCCGCCACCCCCATGGAGGTGGCGCTACAGCACTGGTGTGGGCCGGCTCGGGCCAGCAGCTCCAGCCTCCGGGAGCGTAGCCGAGCCTGGATGGCCCAGATGGGGGGCGGGGGGCCAGGCAGTGAGGGGTCCCCCTCATAGGAGCTCTCGATGGTAGAGTCGGAGCTGTCTTCGGTGCTGGCCACCGACTGCTTGCACACAGGGCAGGAGCGCTGGACGGCCTGGGAGAACCAGGGGTCGATGCACTTGCAGTGATAGGTGTGAGAGCAGGGCAGGATCTTGAGCTGCTCGCCCTCCTCATACTCATCCAGGCAGATAGCGCACAAGTCATTGAGCCGAGTGAAGGTGCGGACCTGAGCCTTCTGGCAGGCGGGCGTCTTAACTGCCGCAGGCCCACAGGACCACCAGGACCACAGCCAATTCCACAGGTGGCGCAGGATGAAAGTCATGGACGTGAGCAGGGCCAGGGCGCGGCCCAGTACCCAGGAGATGGCCAGCACGGGGTGGCAGTCCAGGTCGGGGCATGGTGGGTAGTTGGGCAACAGGAGGACATGGGCTGACTTGTCACAGCCCATGATGACTCGCAAGTCCTGTGAGGCAGCCTCGCTCACGAACACTGCAGGGATGGAGATCTGGCGCCGCAGTTCCCCATAGACATGTGCCATGCGCACGAGGTCATCTGAGAGGACATTGTGCACAATGGCGGCCTTGAAGCCAGCCTGCTGGGCATGCAGCACCTTCAGATCGAATGTGCAATCATAGCGACGAATAAGTACGATGGCGCCCAGGGAGCTATTGCCCACCAGCTGCGGGCCCTCAATAGGGTGGCATGCATTAGCTGGCTTGGCCTCCATCAGGTAGCCCTGCACACCCTCGGGGGCCAGGGGCACTCCAAACATGGCCGGCAAATCCGCAAAGTCCACCGTGCTTGAGTTGCCATCCAGCACGGCTCGCACCAGCGCCTGTGAGGGCACCAGTAGCGCCAACAGGATCAGTGAGCCCTTGACCACCCTCAGGGCCAGGGCCTGCCGCTGCCGCCCCATGGCCACTCCCACCCCTCCTCCTGCTCCTGCTTCGGTGTGAACCTAGGTCCCACTGGGGATGGCAGATGGGAGGGCTTTGGGCATCTCCGGGGCCTCCCGGGCGTCCGTGGCCAGGATGGAAAGGAAGTGAGCTTCAGTGGGAGGCTCAGAGGCAGGTAAGCAGAGCGACTGGGACCTGGGCGGCCCTAGGCAGAAACTGCTCCTGGGGGCAGGCACGTGTGCATCGTGTCTTTGAAGGCTGGTCTCAGGAGGAACTCACCCACCAGGGTGGCCTTGCTGGCACACGACGCCGAGGCCAGGACACCAAGGTTCTAGATGGCTCCTAGCCTCTGTGACATCGTCCAGTTACATTCTTTCCCTAGGAGCCCCCAGCTGCCTGGGCCTGTGGCCAAGACAGAATTCCCAGGTCTCTGACTTAGGGGCCTGGGTAGCCTCCGAAAAAACTTCTGGAAGTCTCAGCACATCCCCAGCTCCCAGCACCTCAATTGTATAAGGCCCTCTTGTGAGCCTGTGGCCCCAAGAGGCACAAATCCAGGACTCACACTCACACTAGACAAGCATCATCTCCATGTGCCTCTCAGCAACACAACAAGGAAATTGCCAATGTTACCCCCTTTTAAGATTCCTAGAAGGACCCAGACTTGTTCAGGGCACCCTCTCCCTATGAGGTCAGTTCTTAAAACCCAAATTCCAGACTTGCTCCCTCTCTCCTCCTCGCTCATTCTGCTGCAGCCACATCAGCCACCCTACTATTCCTCCAACATACCGAGCACGGTCCTGCCCCAGGGCCTTTGCACAGGCTATTTCCTCTGTCTACACTGACCTTTCTCCCTGTGGCTGGCTATTTCTCACGACTCAGGGAGAACCTATCTGAGTTCATATGTACTCAGAGTTTATCTGGACTTGATTTGGGGGGAGGGAGAAGTGTCAAGGGCAGGGTGAGGCTGGCATAGGTGGGTGGCCACAAGTCCTCACTGCCTGGTAGGCTTCCTACACCAGCTTTATTCTCTCACTTTAGAGGCTTATCTCTAGCTGAGTCTCTAACTGTCCCCCATTCCTCAGCCAGAACCCTGGACATCAGCCTCACATTCTCCCCATTTCTCATCCCCAAAATAACCCACCCTGAGTCTGTCTCCTGCTCCAGTCTTGATTCCTGGCTCAGCCACTGACAAGCTGTGTGACGCTAGGTAAATCATTTAACCTCTCTGGGCCCCACCCAGCTTTCAGCTCTGTATAAAGGGCACAATGATGAGGAATCTATCTTGTAGAACTGGTGGTATGAAGATTAAATGAGATAATATACAACTACTGCTCAGCATAGGGTCTGACTTTGTCATTCTCCCAGAACAGACCTACTTCTAGTTTGCAACCCTTCCAGTTCATCACCACATGGCAGTCAGGACACTTCCTGAGATCTCAATCTTCTGGTTTGTCCCATGCTCTAAACTCTCCCATGGCTCCCTATTGTGCTCCAGATAAAGTCTACCCTCTTCTCTGTGGCCCCCCCATGGTTGCAGCCTCTGCCAGTCTCGAAAACCGAAATGCTTTTCAATGCTTCAACTACATCATATTTTTGACCTCTAGAGCTTTGCAAATGCTCTTCCTTCTGCTGAGAACAGAATTCTCTCTCAACTGAATTTTGCCATGTTAACTTCCTATTCTTTAGTTTTTTTTCCGTTAGTCTAATACCGCTCACAGCAGCCCTCAGCCAGTGACAGAGAAGAGACACAGAGAAGGCCATGTGACATCCGAGGCAGAGGCTGGAAGGATGCTTCTACAAGTCACGGGGTGCCCAGCATTGCCAGCCACCACCAGAAACCAGGAGGGAGGCATGGAACAGATCTTCCCTCTGAGCCCCAGGAAGGAGCCAACTCTGCTGACACCTTAATTTTGGACTTCCTGCCTCCAGAACTGTGAGGGAATACATTTCTGTTTTGTTTCTTTAAACCCTCACCTGAGGATATTTTTCCATTTATCTTCAGATAGAGTGGGAGGTGGGGTAGAGAGAAACATCGACATGAGAGAGACACATCGATTGGTTGCCTCCCACATGACCCCGACCAGGGCTGGGGACGGAACTGCAACCAAGGTACGTGCCCTTGGCTGGAATCGAACCCGAGACTCTTTGGTCCACAGGCCAATGCTTAAACCGCTGAGTCAAACTGGCCAGGGCAAATTTCTATTGTTTTAAGCCCCCCAGTTTGTGGTACTTTGTTATGGCAGATATTGGAAATGAATACACACTGGAATCCTTGTCCCAAAATCTGCATCTGGGTAAGGCCAGCCAAAGGCAAGGTCTCACCACGGTGAGATTGGGGGGTGAGTAAGGATGAACTTGGTGTAAGGGGCTGTGAATGGCATGTGAAAAGGTCCGGAGGTGAGCAAGATAGAGATAGGAAGAGGGAGAGAAAGTTGAGTGGTGAAAAATGGCAAGTCAGCCTGGCCGGTGTGACTCAGGGGATTGAGTGTTCTCCCATGGACTGAGAGGTCCTGGTTCGATTCCCGGTCAGGGTACATGCCCAGGTTTCAGGCTCGATCCCTAGTAGGGGGCATGCAGGAAGCAGCTGATCAATGTTTCTCTCGCACATCAATATTTCTATCTCTCTCTCCCTTTAAAATATAAAATATTAGAAAAAAATGGCAAGCCATTCAGCGTGGCTGGAAAGAGGGTCTCACTCAAGGATGGGAGGAGAGTCGAGGAAAGGATGGGCAGGGCCTGCCCCGAACCTTGAATGTTGATGGCCTTGGGGTTCATACAGAGAATGACAGCGAGCCATAGAAAACGTTAGAACAGAGGCAGGACACGGTTGAATTGTGTTTCCCATGTCCGCCCTCTATATTTCTGCATTGCTTTGACTTTTTATGTTGGGAAAAAATTCACTTATTACTCCTAAAATAAAAAGAGTTTTGAGCCCTGGCCAGTTTTGCTTGGTGGTTAGAGGATCAGCCCTCAGACCAAAGAGTCCCGGGTTCAATTTTGGCCAAGGGCACCTACCTTGGTTACAGTTCATCCCTGGTTGGGGTTGTGCAGGAGGTAGCCAGTCTATATGTCTGCCTCACATTGATGTTTCTCTCTCTCTCCTTCCCTCCTACGCTGTCTGAAGATGAATGTAAAAATATCCTTGGGTGAGGATTTAAAAAAAACCACAGAGTTTTGAAAGAGCCCTCTGGTTGCTGGGTGGAGCTTGGGTTGGAGAGGGAGAAAGGGGCCAGGAAGCTGAGGAGACAGCCAGAGAATCAGGGAAGGAACTGGGGAATGGGGAAGAGAGGAGGGGACAAAGAGACACTCAGAGGGGACTATAGCCCTGAATGAGTGGGTGGGTGCAAAGGAGAAGAGAGAGGGTGAACATCATGACCTCACTCCCTCCGATTCTCTTTCTCTGGGGGTTATTTCAAGAAAGTCTAGCTTGGTGCTACCATCTTTAACACCTTTCAGGCAGTGGCTAATTTCTCTAAGAGAATGGTCCTTAGCCTCAAGGGAATTTTAAAACATCATTTTGTTTTCTGTATCTTTGATTTTTATGAGCCCCATCTCTTTGGGGCAAGAGATTCTGGTTTTTCATTTATGACTCGCAAAGCTTTTTTTTTTTTTTAAAGAAAGACAACAGGTGAGTTGATCTTTAGGAAATATGTGGTAAACACAGGAACAAATGGATGACGATAGGGAAAAGATGGAGAAAGAGGTCTCCAAAGACAGAAAGTTGATGAATAGGGTGTATTAGTTTGCTAGGGCTGCTGTAACAATGACCACAAGCTGGGTGGCTGAAAACAACACGCATTTATTGTCTCGCGGTCTGGATGCCAAAAGTACAAGATCAAGGAGTTGGCAGAATTTCGCTCCCTGCTCTGCCCACGTGCAGGGAAGTCTGGGTGTGCCAGATAATTAACACCCCTGAACCAATGACTGATGGCAGTGAGTGGACACATACCCGGTCTCTATTGCCCCTCAAATGAGATAACTCTAAGGTGCAAGCCCCTCACCATCTCCTAAAGGTCACCAACAGACCGAACCCTAGCTACCCCCCTGGAAACTTACTCGACAATGCTTCCTTCTCTGGTTGCCTTCTCTCTCTTGCCTCCCTTTCCCCACTCCCCTCCCAGACTTTTCTGAGATCACTTCCAAAATAAATAACTGGCATTCAAATCCGTGTCTCAGGGTCTGATTCTGGGGGACACAAATGAAGATGCTGCCTAAGAAGAAAAGAATACTTAGGAAATCAGAAGAAAAAAAAGGAGACTGAGAGAGACTCAGGTCCTAAAAACATTATTTGAGCACCTCAATCCAGCGGAACCTGAAGGCCACACAACATCTGAACTATCACCACTAATCCCACAGGGGACAGGGAGGCTTCCAGAAAAGACACAGGCACAGTTTTTTAAATTGATTTTTAAGGGAGAGGGAGAGAGAAATAGAAACATGGATTGGTCACCTCCTGCATGCGCCGCACTGGGGATTCGGCCCACAACATGGGCATGTGCCCTGACTGGGAATCGAACTGGTGACCTCTTGGCGCAGGGGTCAAGGCTCAACCACTGAGCCACACCAGCCGGGAAACACTGGCACAATTTAAAGTTTGATTTTCTTCTTCTGCTCTACACCCATCTGTCTCTCCAAGTGTTTCTGGTGGGGACCTCCTTCAGTAGTGCACAGAGGGGACATACCAGAGATGTTTGGCTCCTCTAACCATTGGATATAACAGATGGGGTGATGGGACGTGTCTTGTATTCACTCTAATTTCCCCAGAAGTTAGTCACATCTCCTCCCTTCCTCGAGTGCATGCCCTGCTAAATTGAATGATACACTGGCCCATTCATGGGTGGGTATGCAGTATACATGCACACCCACCCGCCAGGACTGTGGTTTAGACCAGCGTTGCCCCAGGGGGCTGGGGCTAGGAGGAGGAATTGGAGGCCTGCAAGGGACCTGGAATACACTGCAGGCTGACCTGGGCCTCTCTCTGTGTCTCTCCTCTCTGCGTATCTCCATTTTGGTCTCTTTATAAATCTCACTCTGTCTCCCTCCTTCTCTATCTTTCCCTTTCTCTGTCAGTGTCTCTATCTTTCCCTCTTTTGTTTCTGTCTGTCCCTTTCTCTCTCTCTTTCTGTCTCGGTCTTTCAATGTCTCTGTCTCAAAATCTCTGCTGCCATCTGATTCTGCTGTCACTGTCTCTGTCTCGTGCTTTCTTT